TAAGCAATTAACAAAATAAACTGCCCAAACTAAACTTTTGCAATGTTAAATATTTTATTACTATTCAAATAATGATTTTTGTTTTGCTGAGGAAGAAGGGAGTGGTCAAATTATCCAGATCATGGCTCATTTTTTCCCATTTCTCTCTGTGTGTCTCTCTCTCTCTCTCTCTCTCTCTCTCTCTCTCTCTCTCTCTCTCTCTCTCTCTCTCACACACACACACACACACACACTTTCTTTTTCTCTCTTTCACAGGGTCTCTCTCTTCTAGCTCAGGTTGACCTAATATTCACTATGCAAACTGGCATTGAATTCTTCATCCTCCAGCCTCTTTTTCCCAAGATTTGGGATCTTAGGAATGAGCCAAAGGGTCCAGTTTTCCATGGTGGGGTTTCATGGCTGTTTAGCAAGTTCTCTGTAACCTGAGCTGCAACCCACCCCATATAGTAAATGTATTTACTTGCTTTTGCTTTCAGAGACTGGCTCTATGTCTTTGGCTCAATGATCCAAGGTCTTCTAGCTGTCTGTCATAAAGTTTTTTCAATCCCACATTATGGCTTAATAAAATGATAACATAAACTAAATTAAATATCTTTGCAAAACTCAGACTCAGTAGATAATAATTTGCATAATAAATTTTTGAACATTAATGTTGAATCAGCATAAAATGTTCATATACATAGTGTGAACTAACACATGCATTTATAGTTTAGTAGAAACAGTAATTCATGATCCAGTTGCCTCCAGGAAGAACCTTAATTTAATCACACAGGGCCATTTTTGGTTAGAAACACAAATTAAAAATTCTTTGAATTGTTCTACAATAAAGAAATCCTTTCTAGGAACATAACCACCATATGTTAATCTCTTGCAGTATTATTCGCTGATCATATTGAAATTGTTATCTTTTTGTGGAGATAAATCTCATGTACCCCAGTCTGCCCTCAAACTCTGCAGCCAAAGCAACCTTGAACTTCAGATTCCCCTGCCTCCATCTCCCAGGTGCTAGAAAGAGAGGCACGTGCTACGACCTAGCTCAGCTCCAGGTTGGGAATGGAAGCCAGGGCTTTGTGCTTGTTTGGCAGGTACTCACCCAAACGAGCTACATCCCAAGTCTCTCACTGACTGCAGCCTTGACTGGAAAATCCAATTACAAATTAAATCTTGAGGACAGAAGAAAATAATGTTGTTCTTCCCCCATAAATTTATCCCATTCTGAGAAAACGAGATCTGTTAAAGTACAGATGCATCCTCTGGCTCAATGGCTTTGTTTTTTCCATTTTTACTATGAAGAGATTAGACTATTGTAAATAAAGAGGGCAGGATGAAGAAGGCTGGTCCAGTGTCAGAGAACTTGTTGGGATTTGAATTCGAGGTTAATAAACACCTTCCATTTGAGGAAAATTAGAGAGTTCCTCGTAGAAGCTGAAGGTCAGTATTCCATTTTATCTTGATTTGAAAGTTGAAGGTCAGATCTGAGATAATTAGTTCGAGCATTCCAGAGAAAAATAAACACCACCCACCTATCTCAAAATAGCCAGGATGTTATGCATAATTCTTATTTTTTTTTTCCTGCTGATTCTGAAAGGAAATCAGAAACAAAGTCTTTCAGCACTCAGGTACAAACCGGCAAAGTATCTCTCATACATGTAATTTGCCTAGGACTCAGAGGAAGTAGAAGAGATACATCCTTAATTCTAACTGCAAACTGCTTCTAGTCTCTCAGGCAGAGAAGAAACAGCATTGTCAAGAGCCTCAAGGAGGAAGAAGACATCCTTCCCTTTTGTTAAGGGAGTTGAGAAGCTACCCTCATCTAAGATGCTGTAAGGAAATGCCACAAGTGGGGTGCCTCTGTTAGAGGCGCTCAGGGTCTAATCCCAGTGTTTCCATTCCTTAGCCTCTTAGTTCTAACTTCAAAATAAAAGTTAACAGATTTTGAGATGAAGCAAGATAATTTTATGTGGAACAAAGCAATAGTACAGATCAGAGAGAGGTAACAGTCACGACTGACAGGGAACCACATAAGATACTCAAAAACCCAAGCAAGTTACAGCCTAGGGTCTCCTTTTATGGGATCTGAGAGAAAGGGGAGATGGTCTTCAAGGACATAGTTTGGGTGGTTTTCTCTTTCGATTAATAGATAACATAATCACTTCTCTGCTGTGTATGTAGAATCATGTGCGCTCCCAATTATACCTAAGCATAAGATGACAAATAGTGGGTTCTCCCCAGAAAGTCCCTAGAAGACACAGCTGGGCTTGACTCCACATGCTCCCAAACTGGCTCAGGCCCTTTTCTACCCTTTGTATCCAGATATGTCAGAAATACACTTGAATAGAAACTGTCAAAATTTGATTGCTGCCAGAGATGGAGAAAGTCATGTTATTGTTCAAAGATGGGACTACATTGCAGTGGTTGTCAACCTGTGGGTCACAGCTCCTTTGGGGTCGAATGACCTTTTCCCAGGGGTTGCCTAAGACTACCAGAAAACACAGAGGACATTACGATTCATAACAGCAGCAAAACTACACTTACTAAGTAACAATAAAAACCATTTTATAGTTGGGGTTCCTACAACATGAGGAACTGCATTAAAGGGTCATAGCATTAGCAAGGTTGGGGCTTAGAGCCAAATGCATATGTGACTTGAGGGACTCTGAAATTCCTGGGTGTGTTGTTTGGAGAAGGGTGTGTATGCATAACATCTGTAGGTGAAGGAACTAGGTTGCCAAGTCCATTATTATGGGAGTATATAGCTCAAAATCCTAACGGAGGCGCCAAGGTCCTAAAATGCCTCCTTTGCTTGCCTGCCTTGACAGAAACTGATTTCCTCACCATTCTAGATTGCTGATCTCGAGGGTCATGTTGCTAGCAGGGTGGATGCCTTCTCTTCCTCACAAGCCCTTTCCTCTGTTTACAAGGAGGAAGAGAGCCCTTCTTCGTCTACTGGATCAAGGCTTCATTTTTACCACCTTATTTAAGCTTCACTTTGCTGCCTCCCCAAAGGCTTCATTTCCAGCTCCAGATAAGCAGGGGTGAGCGCCTCGGGGTGTGAATTTTGAGTTCTCATCAAAGCTAATCAAGAGACTGTTTTTCTCCTAATGCACTCTCACCTGAAAGCTCCCTCTGTGACACAGATCTAATTACAGGTGTCCAATTTATAAACAGCTCTGGGAGAGGTAAACAGGGGCAGCATTCTCCTGCGGTGCCAGCTACTACATTCACTGATGATCAATGAGACTCAGATTCCAACTGTGGAACCACACCCCTGGGTCTCAGAGCCGTTAAGGGAAATAAGAAGCAGCATATTCTGGGCTCTGTTATATTTGCAATTATTCCTCAACCGCCGTCCTGCAACGTAACATTCAGATTCAAGATCACTGGCAGAATCAATTGCTAAGCTTAGAAGTACTTTCTTAGTAGTGTTTTAAAAAAATCATTTATGCACACACACAAACACACACATACATACGTTTCGTCTGCATGTATGTCTGTGCACTATTTGCAAGCCTGATGCCCACAGAGGCCAGAATAGGGTATTGGGTCCCGTAAAGCTAGAGTTACAGTCAGTTGAAAGCTACCATACATGGCTGGAAATTGAACCTGGGTCCTCTGGAAGAGCAGCGATACTTTTAACCAGAGTCATGTCTCCAGCCCCAGAAGTATTTTTCTTTAAAAAAGAAACTCCCATGAACTTCCAGAAACTAAAAATATCAGGAGCTTTCTATCAAGAACCCAAGAGCAGCAAGGAATCACTTATGAAGTCTTGTTGAAGGCTAGGAATGAAGCTCGGTCGAATGCTTGCCTAACATTTACAATGCTGTATGTTCTATCCCCAGCGTGGCATAAACCAGGTACGGTGGTAATTTAATTTCAGCATTCGGGAGGTGAAGACAAAGGGCTTAGAAGTTCAAGGTCACCCTGGACTGTATAAAGAGTTTGAAGCCATTCTGCAGTACATAGGAACCCATCTCAACAAAAATCCTCCGGTTGCCATGCGTGATGACATCCTCTTATAGTCCCAGCAATTAGGAGGTCGAGCCAGCCCAGGCTACATAGGGAATCTGAGGCAAGCCTGAATTACAAAGTAAGACAGTCTCAAAAACAACAATACCGAAAACAAGACCAGTTCATTAGAGCTCTAGTCAAGGACCTCTGCCTTACAGGCGCATCGCCTCTCCAGGCACGGTAACAGACAGTCCCGGGACCCAGCTGCAGAAGTCTACAGAGCGGTTGGCTAATGCTCTGGAATGCAGCCTGTGGCTGTTCCCTGAATTTTCCCTCTGAGCAAACAAGCTGGCTCTAGAGGTAATCACACATACTCACTTATTCCCATTAGCAACCCCAAACAAGCAAGTGGCTTTACCCAAACAGCAAGAAGGACAGTTATTTTTGAATGTGCCCTGCTTAATATGTTTCACAATTTGGGATTTCTCAATAACAAGAATTGGACAACTATTCGAATTACAGGAGGTTTCAGAAGCAGACAGACCAAGTAGGAAGAGAGCCAAGGAAGGGCAATGAGTGCTTGAATGAAAGTGGGGTATTCTTATTCATAGAATTCTACTATCACTCTTAGAAAGTGCTATTGAAATGGAGTTTAGGTTCAGTGTGGCCACGTGACTTTAATCCCAGCAATTGGATAGGTGTGGGGGAGGGCAGAGGCAGACAAATTTCTGTGAGCTTCAGCCTGGTCAACGTGGGGCATGCTAGGCCAGCCGGAGCTACAGAGATAGACCCTGTTTCAAAAGAACAAAACACAGCAAGGCATAACAACAACCACTGAGTTTCGGAGGAAACTAGTTGTGACTTTTGATGATTATCAGAGGAACTGAGTAGATAGTTTTCTCTCAACATGTTTGGCTTCCTGTATTTTTTTTTTTTTTAAATAAATATGTTCCCAACTAGCCCTGAGGAATGCAGCCTGCTCAGTACCCAGGGGAATAGAGCAAGTCACAGCAAGTCAGGGAGGCAGAAGTTTCCTGATTTCCCATAATGACCTTGTGGGAGCTGCAGTGAAGATGGACAGTCTCTTTCCCATGTAGGCACCTCCTGCTGAGTCAGTTTGTCAACGTGACGCAGGGAAAACTTCACAGCCCTGTGTGCCTCTACCCTCTCTGCTCTCCGGATACCAGCCGTGAGTGTACCTCCAGCACACCCTTCCGAGCTTCCTCTTGCACAGCCACCAGGGTCCACATTCACCCTGCAGGTGAGCTGGATTTAGAAAAGACACAGTTGAGGCTCTCGGATAAACAGGCGGCAGGCTAACAATTACAGGATTGCCAAATAAGGCTTGCTTTTTAAAGCGATAATAAGGACACCTACATTAATGGCGCATTTCCCTAAATGGGAAGCGGGGGTTGTCCGTCGTCAGGACACATGCGTATTCAACACAGCTGTTTCTTCAGAGGGATATCTGAAGTCAGCAGTTCTCACACATTGAGCAGGCTGCCTCTTAATGCACACAACTATTTCATAATTTAATTTTACTTTTCAACATTCCAAACGACTGACAAGGCACTCTGATAGGCAGCCGTGCTTGAAAAAGACACAGCTAGTCAACTGAAGGAAGTATTTCCTTGTGAGAGTCATTTCTTGGACGATTCCTTTCATCTGGAAACCAGGAAGTGAGTCAGCTTTACTAACTCCAGTCCCCTGCTCGGTGTTTTATTATTCATCCGGACTAAGAACATTTCTTTCTTTCTTTTTTTTTTTTTTTCCTGCCCACAGAACCTGGTATGACCAAGCAGGCAGGTCACTTGTTGAAATCTCCTCTTCAAAACATCCACAGGTTCTGTTGTCAAGGATCCTAACAGCCTCTGTTTGGAAAGGTGCCTGGCTGCTCACAAGACTGTGACTCATCAGCGTTAGCTAAACACAAAGCCCGGTTGACAAAATCCATGATGTCATTCCTTTTCTATGTATCTTTAACATACTTTAGATACAGAAGTCCTTGGGTAACAGGCAAAGCTTTCAAGTAAGAAGAACACGGCTGAAATACTTAGAGGAAAAACACCCTGTTATGTCTGAATAACAAAGGCAATGCAGGCTCCAGGATTCTGGGCTTGTCCTATTTGCTGATACAAAGAACTCCACAACGTTTTACAGTGTATAAACTAGTCACTAGGGCTGGTTAAAGATTAACTCAATTGAAATATTTCGGGCTTGAGTAACTACTGAGGATTGCCAAGTTTGGTAGAGCTGAAACCTCAACAGCTCCCAAGAACTCTGTTCCTTGAGGCCCACCAAAAGAACTTGCAGAAGAATTTTAACACGTTTCAAAATCAAGAGCAAATACTAAAGGGGTGCGTGTGGATGCGTGTGTACGTGCGTGCGTGCGTGCGTGCGTGTGTGTGTGTGTGTGTGTGTGTGTGAAACGTGACCATCAGTATCTTCCCACCTTCTTTCTGGCCCCTTATGTTTATTTAAGAAGCAAATATAACTTCTACTGTAAATAATAGCAAAAATGAAGTGTCAAAAAAAATCCAATTTTCCTAAGAATGATCCTTAAAGGGCAAAATATAAAAAGCCAAATGGATCAAGTCAAGTGACCTTACCTCTGTGTTAAAATGTAATGTGAGGAAGGCAGCATAACCGGGTGACATCATTGTTTACCTAACCTGTTACTGGTCCTGACAGCGTATTAAGGAAACCTCCATAGCCAGTAACACAGATAGCAATCTGTCCTGAGAAACCCAATCATTTTAGCGCAAAGCCAGCCAATAATAAATAAAGAATCGGTGATTAATTATGATGACCTTACTGCTCCTCTGGATGAATTCATTCGGGAGGATGGTGGTGGTTCAAGGCAGGAGTGTTTCATTTGGGAAAGGTTTAGGCTCATGTGATGAAGTGATGCTTTCAAATTGAGCAAATCGTTGTTTAACTTCCTTTTTCCCGCACTGCCTGTTCACTTCTGGGAAATCTTAAGAAAACACAGAAACATTGTCAATCTCAAAAGCGGAAGTCAAGGATTGGAAATGTGATATTACATCCTGCCCACCGCCAGAAGCAGCACTGGGATTAGAAGAAACTTTTTCTGTACTCCTTGTAACTTCATTTTTTCCCTTAAATCTCATTTGAAAATTCTGTCTGCCATTCAAGATTAGTTTCCCAGACTCCTTTATGTTAAGGGGGCCACAGAATAGCAGTTTTTCCTTTTTCCAACAACACAAATTCTTATGGAGGATAGAGGACAACCTCAGGTTTTGGTTCCTTTTGAGGGTTTATAACCCTTTGAGACCTTTGAGACAGTTTCTCAATGAGTCTTGGACTCATTTAGGCTGCCTGACTGACCAGCAAGACCCAGGGATCTTCATTTCGCTCTCTGTCCAGCATTGGAATTGCAAGAGTTGAGCACCGTAGTTGGTGCTTTTTATGGGTTCTGGGAATCAAAATGAGATCCTCATGCTTGTATGTCAAGTACAGACAGAGGTGGCTTCCCGGACCCCAGATCCTCTTCTTATGCTGGCCCTGCTCCATCTCATAGGTTGTTCATCCTGTTCTTATTTCCCCAAATTTCACTGTGTGTACAAAGTATTTCCCCCTAAGGAGATCTCTTTACCAAAATTTGTTCAGACACAAGTTCTCAAGACTTACACTCCTCCTAAGTACATTAACAACACAAGAAATGCAATAGCTCTTTGAACAATTAAAAAAGAAGGAGCCTGGTATGAGGAGGCAGGAGGAGCCCCCAAAGGCCACGGGACTTAAGCAGAGTTATGCAGCTGCTTTGTTTGTCTAAAAAAAATATAAATTATTTTTTAGAATCAAAATGTGATTAAATATTTGGCAGGATTTTTTTCATATTAGTGGGGTATGAATAGATAGATATGAAGTTTCTTATACAAGCAAATCAATAAGATCACATATGTTATTTATTTAATAGCTTTCTTCCACCAAATGGTATAAACTCAATCATTCTTCTCAAGGAAACAAAAGTCCTAGCAGTCATGGCCTCTGATCAAACTGGGAGGCCAAGAAAAGAGATGCAACCATTATGACCAAGAAGAGCAACACTTTTTCTGATTTTATTGTCCTTCAGCACAAGCATCCCACAAATAATTATAACTAACTTACTTTCCATGTTTCAAAGAAACTGCCAGGACCACTCCACAGAAAAAAAAGTCTTCTACTTCATGTATGTTAATAATATTTTATTTATTAAATAAAATTATATGTACATGTAAGTCTTCAGTATCTTGCTCTTGTATTGTTTTTGTTTATTCGTTTGTGGTTGTTTTCCAGAGTTTTTGCTAAGTAGTACTGGCTTGCCTGACATCCACTATGTAGATGTGTGTGGTCTCAAGCTTGAAGCCTTCTCCTGTCCCTTCCCCTTCAGTGGTTGAATTAGAGGTGTGTAACACCATGCCCATCTTGGTATCTTGCTTTTAAGTGGGATTTCAAATTCTCAGTGGATGTGGCATGTGGTTTACATGTGTAAGAGAAGGAGTTTGCAGGCCTTTAAAAAACTCTGGAATTCAGGTCAGAATAACTGTCATTCTCTGTTTTAAGAAAGATCTTTCAGCCATTCTGAGAACTGAGACACAGTTAAATATCATACAATCACTTCTTCAACAAATTTAGGATGTGTGATGATGATCGATCCCTTTTCAAACATCTCAATATCAAAAGGGTGCAGAGGCAAGGATTCACTCCAAGATTTACTTCTATTGGGTCATTCCTATTTTAAACTGTAGCTGTTTACTCTGAATAAGATCCAAAGCTGTTTGTTTTATGAAGGGCCTATGTAATCAAGGTCTAGGAGTTCTGTGAAAACTAGAATCTAGGTTGAAACGATAATGAAGGTAAGATTTTGTAAGCAGAGACTTCTTGTGTGTTTCCTAGCTGTCCAGACATGAATATGACAAAGAAACTATATTAATTACCACACTTATGACCAATGACTTAGGCATACTTCTGGCTAGCTCTTACATGTTAAACTAACCCATTTCTATTAATCTGTGTATCATGACGAGGCTGTGGCCTACTAGTAATGTTCTGGCAGTGTCCTCATTTGGAAGCTGCATGGAGCCTCTCTAACTCTGCCTACTCTCTCTATAGATATCTTTGTTTGGATTTTCTGCCCTGCCATAGGCCTAAGCAGTTTCTTTATTAACTAATGGTAATAAAACATTCACAGCACACAGAAGAAAATCCCATATCAGTGAGAGGCAACTAATGTCCCAGGTAGCCACTTTCCATCAATCTAGGCTTTCATACACACATATGCATGTACACACACACATGCACACACACACACACACACAATTTTACATCCCGAGGACACAATCCAAATTTGTGAATCACTCAATAGTTGTATAAAGCTAGTTCAGAGCTTAGACTTATCTTCCCTTAACCTTAGGAGCACAGTTCTTAGCAGGATTTTAAATGGGAAATGCTATTAAGTACAGGAGGGGAAATACACCAGAGATCCAAAATTATCCATGAAACAAACACAATATATGCTTAGACTTATGAATCCTCAGATCATTAACTCATGCTGGACAAAGAGGCTTCATTACGTTCCATTTTAAAAACACTGTGATAAGGAAACACTTGATGTTTTATCTTTTCCAGTCTAAACCTAACTAGGAAAGCAGTGCATTGCTGGATAATTTTGGTACCATCATGAGTGTCAGAACAGTGCTCTGCAGGCTAGAAGGAGAGCTTAGAGGTCAAGAGCACTTGTTACGTTTGCATAGGACCATCTGTTCCTAGCACCACTTGGAGCAGTTCACAATGGCCTGTACCTCCAGTTCCAAGGGATCTGATTCCAGCCTCTGGCTTCCTGCATACCTGCAAACAGGCGGTGCACAGACAGACAAGAAGGTATACAAATATGCACATAGAAATTTTAAATTAAAGAGAAAGTTTAAAAACCACTACACACTTCCATACTCTAGGCACGGTGCTGAACAACGAATTCCTTGTGCGAGATACTGGTCTTTGCTGTAAAAGGAATTACAGTTCATCTGTGCAGGCCACTTAACCCATGGTGCAAATTCATGGTAAATAATGGAGTCCTAAGAGGTAACAGGGGCACGGGCATCCAAATTCTCAATCCAAATTCTACAATCGGCTTTTTATAAGTGTTTTATTAAGTAACTTATACAATGCTTAAAGGTACTCAGATCATACATACTCTGCTCCATGTGTGAGGATGTTTCAAGACTCTTGAGTATATTAAGCCACTGATAGTAAAGAACCACATACATACATACATATATACATACAGACATACAAATGCAGACACATATGATATAAAACCATATATATCATATAAATAAAATAAAAATATGTGTGATGACTATTCTTGATTGTCTCCATGGTTACACCTATAATTAACTAAAACCCAAATGACTGGACACCACGTAAAGGAATTTTTTTTTAATTAAATCATTTGAAGCAGGAGGTCCCACCTGTAATTCAGATCTTTTGAGGTGGGAAGACCCATCTATAATCTAGGCCATGCCTTCTGCTAGAATCCTATATAGAGGACATGGAAGAAGGAAATGCTCTCTCTCTCTCCCTCCTCCCCACTCCCTTCCTCTGCCTGCTTGTTCTTGATCTTGCTAGTAAGTTCATTCCTTCATTGGAATTACAATCTACTTGGTTGGGACTCTGGGATATACTGAAGACCAGCTGAGACAGCCAGCCTCACTGACTGAACAAGTTCTGGATTCTTGGAACTTGCGTTGATAAACAGTCATTGTTGGACTAGCTAGATCACAGTATCAGTCATTCTAATATATCCCACATATATGTATGTGTAATTATTCTATAATTTCTCTTCCTCTAGAGAACCCTGACTAATACAATATGATACATTATATAGTTGTATATACCAAAATCAGGCTTACTTGAACACAAGCATTGTGATACCATGAACACAATTCTGATAAGTAACTAATGAGCAGGTAGTGTATACAGCGTGGATACACTGGATCAAACGGCTGGTTCATGTCCTCTGACACTTGAACAAAAATGTGCCATGCTACTCAGAATGGTGTATAATTTCAAATACATTAATAATTTGTTTCTGGAATTTTCTATTTAACATTTCCAGACCACAATTAACTCAAGATAGCTAAAACCATAGAAAGCATAAGAGAAACAGGTTGATAAAATAGTACCATAGCTAGTGCATACATTTAAGTTACATAATAAATCAGTGTTTTCTACATAGAAATTTGCTCTCGTTCATGCATACTTAAAAGTGGATATTGCCCATTCTTTCTGGTTATGGCTCATCTCTATTATATTCAAAGTAAGCTAAAAATCAGTATGATATTACAAGGCAAAAGACTATGTAAGGCCATCCTACCTCGAAGCATTATTTACAATAAGAAAATTAAGTGGAAAAAGGTGAATGCTAGTCATAAAATTTGTTGCATTTCCACACTGTGCCAATCAGTTCAGGCACACGGCACTGAAAGCCTGTAGCCTGAAAGAAGAAGAAATTTTGCTAATAATGAACATATTATTTTAAGACTTTTCAGCTAGTAATAGTCATCAGAATAACTTGGGACTGTCCTAAAGTATTCCTGTGGATAAGTTGGGAGGAGAGAAACACAGCATGTATACAACATTGGAAGCATTGGCCCAAATAGATCTCTGTTGGAGAATTAAGGAGTACCTACCAATTTTGAACTTAAAAAATCTGATGATCCAACATTTTGTATTGCGCAAGTCATAGCAATGGCTTACTTGACAAAGTGACATTAATCTCCTCCTCTGAATGCCAGCATTTCATCATAACATGGCTATCCCAGTAGCAGGACAAATGGACAGGCCAAAGAGTTGATTTTCCTAATGATGTTTCCTTAGCCCAGATATGGCCTAAGAAATGAAAGAGAAAGGAGGATATGAGATGAAGTCACCCTCAAGGGACTGATTACACAATAAAATGTGCTAAACTTTCCAAGGAAAGCAGTTATTACACTGTTGTAAACTTAATAAATGTCCCTAATTCCAACTTCAAAAACTCACCACTAAAGAAGCGATAAGAAAGCACATTTTATTTAAAATAGCACAAACCTACTTTTCTGCAACCTTGGGAGTCATAGGAACTGAATCCAAGGACCACTTGGGTGAAGAACATCCACAAATAATAGCAAAGCCATTCTAATAAGACAACATCTGGAAAACAAAATTACAATGTGAGTCTGGTGGCTCTTCCACACAGTCACATAGAGAACACATGAAAATTAAAAATGAAAAAGTAGATTTGTCGGCTTTCCCCCAAAGGTTAGCCAAAATCGTCTCTACGTGCAACATTCACCTTTCCCAAAGGATTAGGAGTTCGAAAGCGGCTGTGCAGTGAGGCGTCAGATGTGAGATCAGCATGAAGTTGTAAATTCACGGGCTCCCCCATTCCATAAAATATTGTGTGAAATCTGTGTGTTTGTTTGTATGTGTGTGTGTGTTCTTGTGCATTTATTCGATCTCTGTAAAAGAATTTGTACATGATTTTATCAAAGGAGTTTTAATTTGAATCTAATCTTTCTAAAATATTCAAACCATGTAATAAATGAGATGTTGTTGAATTTTGTGAAAATATATAACGTCCTGGTTTTGTGAGTGGAAAGAATCTTGAGGATCACTTGGTGAGCTTTGCTGCTAAGAACATGAAAGAATATCACACTGCATTGCTATGTCCAGTCTGTCCATTTAGTCTTTCCAGAAGTGTAAAAGACTAGGTAGCATATATATCTGAGCTCTAGTGACCACAGGGTCTCTGCTGCAACTCTGAGCAAATCACTGTGGAAAGAATCCTTGAGCTATAGTGAACCAGTTGCTGCCATGTTTTAATACAATCTTGTACATGCTTATGATTGCCAACAGTGAAATTTTCTATGGCTTTTAATATGAACTGCTTTTCACAATTTATTTCAATCATTTAAAATGAAAAAACAAACAAAAAAAAACGAAAAGAGAAGAAATTCCAGTATGACACAAAGCATCAGGCTGGAACTTCCTGAGGACCACACTTCTCCCACTCTGAATGCAATGCTGACTGTGAAGGCAAGGTCTAGTTTTGGTATCGATTTCATTTGTGATGTTTAGTGACTGATGCAGACTGGGAAATGGGAAATTTAATTGTTCATCAAAATGCCATTGAGTTGAACAGTTACTGTGAAAAATACTCCTGACCTGCAGAAAAAAAAATACGATTTTATTAATCTATAAGATCTAACTTGGAGTCTTTAAGCATAGTCCCAACTAATGTAATCTCAGATTCAAAAAACAAAGTCTCACGTTACTTAATTCTCCAATTTAAAGTTACAATCTGGGGATGTGGAAATGGGAGAATCAATGTAGGGATTTCTAGCTACGAATAGAGAAGAAAAAATACACCGTTTAACTTCAGAGCAGCCGTGAATACGGTCATATGGTGCTATTTAGCACCTGTATGACCTAGGGTAAGTTCCCTAACCATTGTGATCCCTCAATTCTCTATTGGTAGAGGGGTGTGCAATTTTATTATATTATTATATATGTTTTGTTACTACATGTATGTTATTATAAAGAATAGTCACATTTTCTATAATGATCACAAATAACTTGTCTAAAATATTAGAACACCTGGGCATGGTGATTCACCTTCAACCTAAGACTCCGGAACCTGAGGCAGAAGGATCATAAATTTGGTAAACCTGGATGATCAGCTACCTAGGGAATTCTAAGCCCTATCATGACTCCTCCTTCTCCCCCACCCCGCCCTCTCCCTGTCTCTCTCTGTCTCTCTCTGTCTCTGTCTCTCATACACACACACACAGAAAGAGAGAGAGAGAGAGAGAGAGAGAGAGAGAGAGAGAGAGAGAGAGAGAGAGAGTTGGACTGATGGCTTAGCAAATAAAATATTTGTTGTGTAAACATGAGAACCATAGAATATGTGCTAGGTGGATATGACAGCATGCTTCCAACCCTAGCTTGTATGAACTATAGACAGGGATCCCAAACTGGCTGCCAAGATGAAGCAGATCAGCCAGCCCAGGGCTGAGTGAAAGATCCTGCCTCAACTTACACAGTGGACAGCAATTGAGGAACACACCCTGGATCAGCCCCTGACCTTCACACACATGAGAACAGTCATGTATATGCAATGCACATATAACTACGCATAATCACACAAACAAAACACAATTCCAAATTTTGGTATAAAAATTAACATAATTTAGTCTGAAAGTACCATCCAACTAAGTCACTGGAAAAATCATTAAGTCTTTTTGTTAATGTGTCTACAACTTATCTTTTCACAAACTCAAAGAATTCTGTGAGCTCCAAGGAGTTGACTTGGATTCACCTCACACAGGTTAATCCTGGCAGTCAACAGCCGAAGCATCCTCGTCTTTCCCTGGTCTTGGGAATCCCCTCCTCCAATTACTAAGACCTAAGAAAGACTTTTGCCCTAAAATTAGCTTTATCTTCTGCTCTTCCAACATCTTGCCATGTCCAAGAGGCTCCAGACAGCCTAACATAGCCTGGACAGATATTCCTGAACTTAGTCAGCACCCCAGCTTTCTCAGGTCCTCCAAAATATGGCACACCCCTAAGTCAGCAGGAAGCAGTCTCGAGAACCGGGAACCCTCATTTCCTACCCCCACTTGTTATCCCTAACTCACTTTTCATAACAAACAAAATGGAGGACTATTAGCATTTTCAGCATCCTCACCTCATCAGCCCCAGGGTCCTATGGCTACACATGCATTGTTCAGTATACAGGCAACTATTTAGTCATCTAGGGTCCTACAGCTATATGTCACTATGTAATCTATGTACATTCGTTATGTGACTGCTCGTCTCGGTACACGTGTGCTAAACCCCTTTGGAGAAGCTTCTGTCTCTCCCTCCTCTCCCCCATTTCCATTCTCTTCACCCAATTTTGAAAAAAAAAAAAAAAAGCCCTACATGTGAGTCCCGTGGCATAATTGTGTCTCTCTCTTTCTCCTGCCATTTTTTAAATTATAACACTTTCATTCAAATGAAAGAAAAAAATCCATTGTTTTCAGGAAGAAAAGTTGAATAAGAAATCTTACGTTAAAGAAAAACTCTTGAAACCGTGTAGGGAACACCCTCTTTTTCTCGCCACTTTTGTTCCAAGGCACGAATTACAACTATTGATTTCTAGTTTGCTCCCATGTCTCGTGTCCCTGGACATTTACATCCATCTCATAAATTACTGGTAAATTAGATTTTTCCAAAGCCTATCTCATTATGCAACCCTACCACTCAAGACTTTCCAGGGTGCTATTTTGTTTTCTACATTGAGTTAGCATCTCTATCACTTCCAGAAACCTCCTTCTTGCAGCATAATTTATGTTTCCCATCTTCTTGGCCATTCTTTACCTTGCTCACTCTCTTATTGCACTTTTAACTATTTCTTCTCTGTTTATGTTCTTTCCCAAAGACAAACATTCTCCGCTCTTTTTGTTTAGAAATTTCCATCATGCTGCTTTCCTCAAAGGATGACTTTGCCGAGTTGATGTTCTTGCTGCTTGATGCCTCAACCCCTCTCTCCAATTCCCTGTGACACAGTCTCAACTAACAATGAATTTAACAGGCAGTCAATTTTGGTGTCTAAAGAATAGGAAAAAATGGTTATGCCAATGGCTGGACCAATATTAATTTTGGCAAACAATTTCCAACAGTTTTGTTATAACAATATATTTCACAAGTCACAGGACTTGGCCTGCAAAATCACTAATTTGGCCTCAAGTTCCTTTTTTGCGGGACTAATGATACATGAAGTCAAATATTTTCTGGGTATGTCATTAAAGGATCTTGTTTTAATTTTTGAAAGCTGAATAACAGTTAGCATTGTCTATCTTGAAAATGTTCCATGGGAGAATTATTGAAAGTACACTTCATGACGTGAGTATTGGGCGCTCAGACAGAACTGCTTTTTCAGTTTGAATCACACCCAGCAGTAGCCCAATGGCTATGACCTCTCTCCCCTTCAAAGTCTATGTGGCCTACTACTTAGGTAGGTAGTCAGTTTTTCAGTTTCATAAGCAAATATGCCTTCCATTCTGATCAATTTAACAGTAAATAGAGCTCTTTATTAGCAAATGAGAGTTTGTGCAGACTGACCAATGTCTTTCTATGCCTCTGGCATTTGTTTACAAAAAAATTTTGTGCCCTGAGAATTCCAAAGAGGAGATGTGGTTGCTTTGTCTAAGTATTCTACACTATTTTCTTAGAAAAAAATTAGAAAACTGCACATTTGGACAATGCCATTTTGGTTTTTTAATGAAATTATGCCTGCCTTTTATACGTTGTCTAAATTGATTCATAATAAACAGCCTTTGGGGCTGGCAAGATGGCTTAGTGATCAAGATCTACTGCTCTTTGTGAGGACTTTTGATTCACAGCATCCACATCAGGCAGTGCGCAACTCCCTGTGACTCCAGCTCCAGGGGATCTGATACCCTCGGCCCCTCTAGACAGGTACACTCATGTGCACACACTCCCACAAAGACACATACACACATAATTAAAAATAATACAGCTTAAAGGAAACAGCCTATCGTTCAACAATAAGAGACTAGAAGATAAAGCAAGCTTTATTAAAACATTAAATTCAAAAGAATAGTGAAACCAAAGATGGTATCAACATAGAGTAACACAGATAACTGTGAAAAAAAAAATAGTAGTGTTGAAAAAACAAAGCAGTAAACAGCATAGCACAGAGACCAATTCCAGTTATATGAAATAGAATCTTTCAAAAGTCAGTAATAAATTATTTACAGCTACCTTAAATTTAGAAGTACAAAGAAAACAAGCAAGCAATCATCACGGACTCCATTTATCTGTTTTTGCTGTTTTACAGGACTGAATTGAAGCTAGAGCCCGCATTGCCTAGGAAGTGCTCTGCTGTTGAGCTAAGTCAGGGTTCCGGGGGCCAGATTCTCTTCCCTCTGTTTGTCTTTGCAGTTTGTTTTGAGGCAGAGTTCTTTAAGTTGCAGAGTCCAGCCTTCAACTTTGGAGTCTCCTGACTCTGCCTGGGGTTGTCTGCCACCACTGATGAACATCTTTATCTGTGACATCAAAGGGACCAGCTAGCCTCTTCTCCATGTGGCTGTCGCCCTCACTAAAAGGAGGCGATATAAGCAATGTGCTTGCTTAGTGCAGCAAGAGGCATGTCAGGCTGATCCCCAAACCGATGTGTTTTGCTTGCCTGGTCCCTGGTATCAGGCCACAGCAATTCTCATCCAAGTTAATCAGTTCCCAGGGTCTCTCTCGTAGCCACAAAATCGCTATAATATTTTAATTATTTTTACTTTTGCTACAAAATATTTCTAAAGCTCCACCTTGCTTATGATGTTTCTGTGTTTATGATATGCCACCACATTCTGTACCCTCTGGAAGATATCACTAGGCCCTCTAAGTGGCCCTCCGTCCACAACACCATTCTTGTAGTTTTATAGACTGCGTGTTATGATAGGTTTCCATTGAGCACGTAGAGTCCCAACATGCTGAACCTTGCCTTTCTGTCCCATGGAGAGTGTCACAGTGTCCTTCCTCTAGCTTCATATTTCCCTTCAATCTTAGACCCAAGGTCATCGCTCCCCAGCAAAGTGTCACTTAGTGTCCACCTGCAGCACCAAGTAAATACTTCTAAAAAACCCACCTCACAATTTGTTGCCAGTGACCCTTCACACTGCACCCCTCCTGAAATTATCTTATTTTATATTTCAAATTATCAGGACTTCTGAGCTAAGCATCCATCCATGTTGAATGGAGGAATACACCGAAGAATGCACAACATAATTATAAAAAATGCACATATTTGCAGGACTCTAATTCTTTCAGTCCATTAGAATAAATGCTGACAAAATTACAATAATGCAATTTAAGCATTTTAATATGCTAGAAGCCCAATGTATTCATACTAGACTAAAATCACCATTATCCTCCATCTAATAACATCATCTGCCCTCTCATTTCCCTGAACAAGCCATAATCACTGTGGCAGATTTGTGATGTATTGTACATAGGAAAAAGTCATTTTTTAAAATTATTTCTTTTACTTCTTGATATTAAAATATAATTATATCATTGCCCCCTCCCTTTCCTCCCTCAAAACTCTCCCATATACCTCTCCTTGCTCTCTCTAAAATCATCATTAATTGCTTTTTTGCTTTCTCTCACACACACAAACACACACACACACACATGCACTGTATAATGTTACCTGTATGTATGTTTTCAGGACCTACTATTTGGTGTTGGATCGTTAATTGGTGTGTTCTTCCTTGGAGAAGACTATTTCTAGAGTCAGAGTTAAATCCCCAGACTCATCCCTGGGAAAGGTATGTAATTATAAAATGAGCACAGGGGAGGCAGAGACAGGCAGGCACCTGAGGCTGATTGGCCATCCAGCCTAGCTTGTTTGGCAAGCTTCAGGTCAATGAGAGACCCTCTCTCAAAATAATCAGAACTTGCCTGAGGAATGATGCTTAAGGTTGTTTTCTATAATCTGCAAATATACACATACACACACATACCTACACACACACACACACACGCATGAATGAAAAAAAATCAGTGTAAATACAAGAATGTCTCTAATGCAAATAAACAGAGTAATCAGTTAAAAAAAAAAAAAGGATCCCCAAATAAGGTCTAGAATTCCCTTAGGAGTCCCTAAACAATTTTTGTGGTTCTAGTATCTATACGTTAAAAATTGACAGAAAATTCCCAGAGAATTGTTTAGGTTTAGATATGTTGAGAAAACCCTATAGAATGTGATTAAACTATCAGGGAAGATTGGAGACACTCACAGATGTTAAACCGATATTACCAGTCATTCTCAAGCTCAATTGCTGTTTAAAAGTAGAGCAGATACATTCCATAAACGTCATTCAACTGATGGAACTTTAGTTTAATTTGTAAGCTACTCAGGACCACCAGGACATATTATCATATATTGAATAATTATTGCTACCATTATTGAAGCATGAATTGTCAATATAAACATAGCAATTACTCCATTCCTGGCAATATTATGCTTGTCTGAAATATAGAATTAATTTTATTCTCACACAAAAATTCCAACAGTTGGGCAACAAATCCTGGATAAGTAAATTAAGGCACAAAGAAACGGAAAGTAGCAAAGCCTGTGTCTTAAGCATGGTGCCCACTTCAGGGAAGGATGGCTTTCAGCAGACAGTACAAATCATTTTTGTGTTTTATTAATTTGTTTACTTTTATGGCTAAAACAAGGTTGATGATTTGTCAAAGAAACTAACATTGATTCTGTGATAGTTGTGTGTATATTTCTCTGCTCACTATTTCTGTGGGGGGGGGGATAAGAACGTTAAATTTCTTAGTGTGAATCAAATATAAATGGCTTTTGACCACATCATTTTGAAGATCTCATGAGTTCCATCTTGCATATAAAACCCTAAGAGAGCATCAGTTCAGAGTTCAAAATGCTGTCTTTTCCAGCAGCCACTAAGTACCAATGAGTATGAATCAAGGGTACAAAGAGGGCCTTTAATAGAACCAAACAATTCTGTAGTGGTTTCCAGCAGGGAAGTCAGAACTCTTATGTTTGCCTGCCCTTAATAGAGTACTGCTGGTCCTCTGGGTCCAGCATCCATAAGTTTGTTTTAGTTAAATCTTTGTTTATAGTATAAATACTTGCTAGAATGATGTCTGGCTGCCTCAGTTAAGCAGGTCACTTAATAAATTACAGTTTCATTTTAATTAAAAATGACGGTTGTTGGACTGGAAATAAAACTCAGTTGGTAGAATGCTTCTCTAGCAAGCATGAAACTCTGGCTTTGTTCCAAGCACCGCATACACCAGCTGTGATGTGTAAGGTTTTGCAATGCCAGCACCATAAAGGAGGGGTCAAAGAGTAGCAAGAGTTCGAGATTATCCTTGGCTACATAGTGAACTCTGGGATATACATGAGCCCCTATGTCAAAACAAACAAACAAACCAAGACCTGGGGGGGGGGGGTAGATGAAGGTAGGAATAGAGGCAGCAAAAGGGTACAGTGGGTGAAAGTGCTGGCTCACAAGATTGACAATCAAGGTTCAGACATGGGAACATACATTGTAGAAAGAGAGAACTGACTCCTGCAAGTTGCTTTTTGCCCTTTAACCTTCACACATGCATTGTGTCATACATGCCCACATGTATAACACACACACATATATACACACTAATTTCATAAGGACTGTAGGGATGGCTCAGTAGTTAAGAAAACTTGTTGTTGTTCCAGAGGACTCAGATTTAGTTACAAGCACTCACCTGATGGCTCAGAACCACCAACTGTCTATCAATACCAGTTCCAAGGCGTCCAACAAGGCGTCCAACAAGGCGTCCAAGGCGTCTTCTGGCCTCCTCGGATACTGCACACACATGTATAAATACATAGAAACAATACAATCATGCAAAACAGTCACACAAAACAATTTAAAAAAAAAAAAATTTAGGGGTTGGAGAGATGGCTCAGTGGTTAAGAGCATTGCCTGCTCTTCCAAAGGTCCTGAGTTCAATTCCCAGCAACCACATGGTGGCTCACAACCATCTGTAATGGGGTCTGGTGCCCTCTTCTGGCGTGCAGGCATACACACAGACAGAATATTGTATACATAATAAATAAATAAATATTTAAAAAAAAAATTTTAGAAGTGTCATGAAAAATTTTAATATAAAACAATGAGTCAGTTTCAAAATTAAGCATTCTTAAAAAGACTTTGAAGATCTAGAGAGCAACTGGATTAAAAAGGCTTGCAATTTATGTCCTTGACTAAGAAGAAATTATTTGCCTGACAGATATAACTGAGACGTAAGCTTTAAAACCTCCTGCAAAACAAAAACATTTATTAATGGTTCAATATTACTTAATGAGTCACTATGTTTTGTCAGCTAGTTACATCTATTAAGAGTTAATACATTTATTAAGAGATTTAATACATATTTGGAATTATTTATTAATTTGGAGGATTTTAAAGTTCACTTTGATAGTTGTATGATTTATTTTAGAATATTGAGTGATCAATTATACATGTATATAATTTCATATAATAAAAATTTCAAAGTATATAAGATGCTAATGAGAAAAAAAGAAGCATTATGCATCTATCAGAAACAATTTTCAGTAAAATATCAAAGATATCTAAGATGCATTTAGTTCAACACTTTAGTCATAATAGTATAATGTATTTAATGCTAAATGATATAATTAATTTAATCAGCTCAGTACACATTGGCAAAAGATGCTAACTAGAGTTACCTACTGTAAGCTTCTATGCTAACACTGAAGTTCTCCTGAAATTGCTCTTCAGTCTATTCAAATACAATTCACTGTAATTTTTTGAAATTTATTAATCTTTCAAAGATTAAATTTAATGACGTTAGTAAATTTTTCTTAGGGTCTTTATGGAAATGAATGGTGTGATGGACACTAAATGAAACAAAAGCAAATTAACCTGGGGCTACCTGCAGCAGATTCCCTGCAACAGTTCATGGTCTAGTCTGGCAAAACTGGCAACTCTAATATAAAGTAGATTAATGATACGTTAACCATGAAGAGTAAACTATCTTACTAATTTTCATGTTTGATTTTAAATGCTTTTTAACTACGGAGAGAGGAAAAGCCTGGTTTTAGAGGCTGTCTTTTTACACTAAGAAGAAACTTATCATATGTCCATTAAGACAGAGTCTGAGGCTAGAGGAAAAGGTATCATTCCTGCAAAAACAACTCTTGGTCCCTCCAAGTAGGGCTAGAGAATACTGGAAATGAAAGGTAGAGATGGAACTTGTTTGTACCAACATTTCAAGAGCACAAACTTCCAGCTCTTACCCAACCAAGAAACAGTAGTTCTCTGGAATTGTTACTGGGTTTATATGGAAAGACTCTACAGGATACAAGACTTAATATTGCATCTGGCTCATCATTTCCCTTCCCTCTTTGACTTTGCAGGGCATCATGGCTCCCTGCCAACGCCAACTGCTCATCATCCCATAGTCCACTTCAGGAACTGCTCTGGAAAGCATATTCCACTGTCAAAAACTACTAACACTCCATCCATCTCCTACCTCCTATCTCTTTTCCCGCCCTTGGGTTAGACTCTCTTTGCTCTGAGTTAAGGATGATGCCACCCTTAGCACATTTAATTATACTGACAAACACATCGCCAATTTCAACAACCATTCTCATGCGCATTTATCAATCCTAGGTATGAAATTGTACGTTTCATGTTTGCTCTATACCTTTGCCCTCACAATAATTCACAAGGTAGCTAGTACTTCCATCCTCATGGTAACTTGGCAGTTAGAGTCTAAGTAGATTAAATAGCAGACCATATGTAACTTGGCAGTTAGAGTCTAAGTAGATTAAAAAGCAGACCCTATGTTGGATATCTTGAAGATGACTGAATGTTGACACGTCCACGTAGGCAGCAGGCAGGGGGCATGTTACCCCAGGTGAACCCCAGGTAGTCTCTCTTTCAGAATAGCCACTTACCAAAATCCTGATGCTGCCCTCTTCCTCTTTACCTGCTATCGAGTCTGAGCTGGGAGATCCTTGGGAACACTTTCCATATGCTTTAGGATATTTAGTGAGAGAATCTATTCCCGTTCCACTTTAGTCAACTGCTCCTGATAGAGTACATTCCGAAGAATGTACAACATGAGAAAGCCTTGAGACAATCTAGCCTTCCAGACAGTCCTTCTTTTTGTTTATTAATTTCCATCCTACTTGTCTATAAACCTTTATTTTCTCTTCTTATAAAGATTCTCCTTCTCCCGGTGGAATTCCCAGCAAAGCGCCTATGTCTTTTAAAGGGCCCGCCAGACGCTATCTTCCAGAACATCTTCTGTCCATTGATTTCAAAATCCTTTATACTTAGGTTACCACCTTTAGACAGACATGAACCACAGATTCTGCACTTCTTGCCACTATCAGAACATAAAGACTGATGGAGCTGTCTATCTATTTCACAGAGAGCCAGGCACACTTCCTTAAGCTTCATTCTCATCACTTCCTGAGTGTCCACACTTTCATTTAGCAAAGTTAAACTGCTAAACAAAAAGGCCTGACCCTTATATTATTATGGTCTTCATCCTGAAGATATGTCTAACCATACGATGATTTAAAGTTCAAGTCTCCATCTCTCCATTCATAAAATGGGAGTATATTAACATTAAGGTACCTTTACTGCCTTGGAGCAATAGTACAGGAAATGATTTGTTCATATAAAAGTTACTAAAATGTAAATTCTATCACCAAACAGTTATAAATGAGGGAAAGGCTCTTTCCTCCCTCGCTCTCCCTGCCCGGAAATTGACTGTAGGCCATTTATTGTAAATATGAATTCATTTATCTATTTCCACCATTTAATACCTTGACTAAGCAGATGTTTAATAAGCACATGTTGAACTCAACTAAGCTATCTTGCTTCTCTGCATGCACTGACTTTCAAAAGCACAGAAAAAAAACTTAAAAGTATTTCAGTTGCAATTTTTTCCAAAAGCCTATGCTCAATCCTGGTTAAGCTAGACATACGAGTAAATTTCGTACTCAAGTTTTAATACCCATGCAATTTTAAGCCTCTTCATAAAAGCAGGACGTATGATTAGGCTAACAATACAAGCACGCAGACTGCATATTCTGAAAAGGAAGAGATCAGATTTCACTCAGAATGAAAGTATGATTTCCTATGTTTTTGCTATGTCATGAGTCTAGAGAATCGAGTCCCTAACAGGCAGTGTCCTTTATCCATAAAAAGGCAGTGTCCTTTATCCATAAAAACAATCTGCTGGATGTATTTTGTTAATACGATACACAGTAGCTCTCAGAAAATGTTGACACAGATGCAGTAACAATAGAAAATGGGAACTGATCTTCCTCCCATTGTCCCAGTCTGCTGCCACGTTCGCAGACTGTTTTCCATGTGTTTCCCCGTTAAAGCTAAATCATGTCAGCATGAATATAACGGAATTATAATTAACTTCCCGAAAGAACGCTGATCTCAGACAGAAGGATTCCATTGCCAATACCAAGACGATCTTTGTGTGTAAACAGGGGGAAAATGCAACTCCATATTCCCCAGTGCTGCTTTTCTTCCTGCACCTCTTCCCCTAAAAACTCAGCAAAGGACATTAAAATCAGTCAATGCTCCATGTGCAGCATACTATAAATAGCCAGTCATCAAGTCCGTATTCAGGATGCAAATAAGATCTCTAGAGATACCACGCGAATAGGAATGCCTTTTACACTCTGGCCACATTTTGCAGGAGATTTCTTTGTTAAGGACAAGGATGCTTCGGCTGTAAATATTCAGACACTCTTCTGCCTTTCCCCAAAGTGATTAAAATCTAGTCTCTAATGGCGAAAAACGGATGTCCTGGTTTGCACATTCCTCCATCTCTGTATTTGGCTCACACACTAGTACCAGTCTCGTTTTTTAAAATCCTTCAGAGCTCAGTGCAAACTGTTGCATTTCCAATGACTGTGTTGTTTACTCTTAGAGTGGACTGGGCTCTGTTTTCTGGGACCATGTTGTCTAGCATGCTTATTCGAGTCAGCAAGAGACAACCAAATAGGTTGCATGGAGCTGATATTAGCTTAGTAATCATTGAGATTTCGGGGTACTATTTGGATAGGTGATTTTTTTCTCTTTAAGATTCATTTAGGTGTATGTGTATGTATGTTTTAGGTGTATGTGTGCATGCTTGAATGTATATAGATGTACCACATGCAAGTAAGAGCCCATGAAGGGCAGAAATGGAGGCCAGAGGAGAATATAGGGTCCCTAGAGCTGGAGTTACAGTCAGTTGTGAACTGTCCACTGTGGGTGCTAGGAACAAAACCCCAGACCCAGCAAGCACTCTTAACCACTGGGTCATGTCTTCAGCCCTGTAACAGTCCATCTAAGTGCCTGAAGATAATGAAATACATTTTACAATGACTTATCTTCTTCACTAGTTTGGTATTTCATCTCTTTTGTTTTAGCTTTTGCTTTTGGTTTTGGTTTTGATTGTTTTGCTTTGTTTTGTTGTAGCTTTCCTTTCTGGTTTGTATTTTATTAAATGATCACTGTGCTCCAGAAATTGTGATAAAATTTGACATATATAGTTTCTGAAAATTTATCTAACTTTTACTTAAATAAAAGAAGCTTTGGGAAGTTACAAGATAAGACTTTCCTAATGCTACCCCATGTGCAGAGGCCTTAGGTTCAGAAGTCACAAAATGTCTGCATGTGGTTGGTCCTTTTAGGGTGGCTGTGAGATAACACCTGAGGCTAAAAACTTTGTGAATAAAAGGGGGGTTAGCTCACTGTTCTGGAAATCCAGGAGAATAATCCTGTCATCAACTTCTTGTGAGGACCTCTTGGTAGAAGGC